AATCGCTACCTGATTGCCTAATCCCAACCCCACCCCTAATCCTAACCCCTCCCCCACATCTACACCTAAAACTACGAATACTAGGGGATGCATAATCTGGCAGGGTGCAGAATTCGGTATGACACCGGCCGTAGCTGTCAGGCAAGATGCATAGCATATGCATAGCTGTCGGGCATAGCAGCGGCGGCACGTAATATCCACGTTCTGATTGGTCAGCTCGCCTGTCAATCAAGCTCTTTGCGAACGGTCAATTTACCTTTCTTCAATTGAACACAATCTTCAGTTGCAATTTTTCAAACAATGACAGCTTCAAAATTGGTACAAAATACTAGGGCTGCCCTCAACTAAGGATTTTTCTGGTCGACTAGTAGTCGTTCATTTGAAGCATTAGTCAACTAATCGCACGTTTATTAATAAACCATTTAAATCATTATAATGAGCCTTTAATTGCATACATAGCCTAATAAACGCTCAAGCACACACATAAAGCTTGCCACAGCACACCGGCAGAAGAAATGATTATGAATGTGTCAGGAAAAAAACAGTAAGGAGGCTGCATTAACATTTTAATAATTTGATAAACTAGTGCTTTCTTTGTTTTCGGATTAAGAGATGAAGTCGGCAACACTGACTCCGCAGTAGTGGATGTGCCTGTATTCATGTTTCATACGGATTACATAATCTGAGAATTTGTTTTCCATTTGAATTGATTCATTTGAAAGTATACATTTCACTCTCAATAGATATATTTTTAATGTCTGTAAGGCAAAAATATACACAGAGTTTTGTGTTCAAGTTCACAGACCGAGACGGCAGAAAGCGCATCATGTTTGCTTTCATTATTTTACAAAAGCGCGGTATTGTGAGTGCACACAAATAGTCTTTACAGATTTGAAAGATACTCTGTATGACCAAAAATGAGGGATTATTTTAAGAGCAAGTGAGCGCACCGGTGTTGTGCCAAATTCTGCACCCCTACCAGATTATGCACCCTCTAGTACTGGTAGGTTTAGGGTTGGGTTGGGGGAGGGGTTAGGATTAGGAAATCAGGTAGCGACTTTAATGAGGGGGTGCATAATCTGGCAGGGGTGCGGAATTCAGCACAACACCGGTGCCTCCATCTGTCCTGCACTTGAATAGCGGTCATTTCTCTAGGTTAACATTAGATTAAGCAGCCATGTAAAGTTGCTAATACTTACATATTTCAGATGATAAGCTATATTTGAGAGGTCGATGAATGATAGTCGAGCGTTTGGATGTCCTGTATTACCACAGACTAGCCGTTAACAATCTGTCCGTCACGGACTGCATGACTTTGCCTGTGGATTTTATTTTTCTGCGACTAATAAAATTTTGGTCGACCAAGCCTCTTCTGGTCGACTAATGATTAGTTGACTATTAGGGGGCAGCCCTACAAAATACCATAAAAAAATTGTTTTACATTTTTTCCTTAGTTTTGTTTGTTTAATTAATTGTTTAATTAATTGTTAAATAAGTTCAGCGTTGCGCATGCGCCGCTCAGAAGTGACGAACGCGGAAGCGTCATATGTCATGCTCCCGGAGCTGCTTCCGTGTACAACTGTTGGCGCAAGCTACATTAAAGTGATTATCACGTTTTGAATATGGATATTTTTCTTACAAAAACACATCGATTCGCTACAGGAGGCCTTTGTTCACCCCCCCGGAGCCGTGTGAGACACTTTTTTTTTTTTATGGATGGGCGCTTTTTATTTAATTTCTTTTGGACTGATGCATGCAACACCCGCTGAGTGGCATTAAACAGCTTGAAAGATCAAAGACAATTTTTAATATAACTCCGACTGGATTCGTCTGAAAGAAGAAAGTCATATACACCTAGGATGACTTGAGGGTGAGTAATTTATGGGCTAATTTTCATTTTTGGGTGAACTAACCCTTTAAGGTTGCTTTAGTGATAATATTAATATAAAAATTTTATCTGAATAGGAGTGTTGCAGCACACATTTCTTTGTTGCTGAGGCACAGTTCCACACTTGTTTTTTGTAATTTTTGGAGCTTCAACATCCTGGTTGAGCTTAACCAGTACTAATGCTGGTCTTGTCAGTATTCTGACAGTACACATACATTTCCTAGACATGTATTTGATGTTTTCATTTGAGTGAATTTTGAATGTTTACTCAACCACAGTATGCCACTGAATCACTACCTGTCAGATGTTATGACAACATTCAGCTGTTAATGATGCGTCTTATGGGATAGGGTCACCTTAGTGGTCAACAGCGTATGTACTTTGTTTAAAAACAGTGAATCAAGGTTGCGATAAATTTAGTTTTGTGAATAAAGTTACAAAACACATTGCCTTGGGCTGTATTTGGTGGTCTTGCCTGAACCTGTATTGATTAAAAACCGGCACATCCGCCTCAGCCCCTCTGGGGGCATTTTACACGGTCATCCAATCAGAAACCACCGGCCCATTACCATTGTAATGTAATTTGTCTGAGTGTGGTGTGAGAGAAATGTCCAGCTAGGGATAATGGCCACGTGAGAAGACAAACTGCAGTGCTGGGCTGTTTAAGATCCATTGGTTACCTTGTTACGCAGCGAGTCTGAGTGTTCATTGATGGCAGGGTTTAAATTGCATCCCTAGATTAACCCCAATTTAGTGGGATGAATGTGTGGCCATTTTTCCCCTCGGGCTGACAGAAGTCATTCGGTTTTTCGAGTAATGACAGGGGAGTGTATACCACAGGGACATTTCTCAATGAGTTGAGCAGAACCACCATTTTTAACCAGTAAATTTTATTTATATATAACAACAGTACAAAGTGAATCCTTGGCTTGCAAAATAGGTGTGCTTCATATTTACAATAGGTACACAGTAATATAATATAACAAAACAAAAGCAATTAAAAAAACAAGACCAACTTTTTTTCTTTTTAAATACTTTAACTCTCTTACAATTTTCACAACACTTAAAAAAACAACAAGAACAGACAACCATAAGTGTTATTATTATCATCATCATCGAGGTCATTATTATTTCTATGTACTATGTTACAGAACTCCAGTGTCTACAAAGAGAGATTCGTTTATAATTTTGCGTGATTGAAAATGGAAGGATATTCACCTCTGAGGTGATCAAACCGACTACAAAAGTCTTTCTCGCTCTCGTTTTTGTTTCCTACGATCAGTAATATGAAGAGAATATGAACATTTCACTTGTTCATAGCATGCTATTCCATCACAGAGCAAAACATGAGCTAAAAACAATAAAAGTGCACAAAATTGATTCCAAGACTGTCGATTCGTGCCAAATATATAAAATTAGCAGCAGTTGTGACCGCCACAGATGATTGCTGATATTTCAGAAAGCTGCCCAGTGCTGTCAAATTTTATTCTGCTCTGCAGAATAGCGCAATAAAAATTATAATTAAATTTTCTCTTTTTTTTCGAGGGATCAAATGTCTTCTAATAAACATTAATAAGCGTTGAGCTACTGAAATCCCTCTCAACAAAGTGCAATTTCCTGTGCCACATCATTTCAAACAAAACATTAGGACCAGAATACATTTTGTTCTCTGAATTTTTTTTCTTTTTTTGCAGAAGCAAGAGAGTAGTCTCTCCTCGACTAATGTGGCAGCAAACAATGTTCACATTAAAACCGAGCCGCATCCTAGGAAATCCTCAAGTGCAGCGGGGTCGACGGAAGGTCTCTTGCCCTTATAGAGCTGGGATGAGCTCTGATGAATGGAAAACGGGGAAGACTGGATAACCAAAAGTAGGAAGCTTTTTCATGTACTCTAATGTCACTAACATGCGACATGGCTTGTAAATTCACATATGTTGACTGACTATACAGTGTGTGTTTCTTAGAGGAATGTGTAGTTGTTCAGGAAGAGTAGAATTACTATAGGTCGCCCTATAATAGCTCATCCCCAAAAAATCTGTCGTATTTTAATGACTTACTTTCTTCCAGTGAACACAACAGGAGAACATCCAAACATACTTAAATCAATATGTAGCCTAATTTACTTGACAAGCAAAATGATGTAAGAAGTCTTGTTTTCTGAGAAATGTATTTAAACTTGAGTTTTTGCCTAAAATAAAATAAAATATCTGCCAATGAGGTAAAACGAATAAACGTTTTTTTTTTTTTTTTTTTAATCAAGCATGCTTTGATATTTATACTGGACAAAAATACTGAAAAATATATATTTTTTGTAGTGATAGTTCCATTATAAAGCTTTCAACTTTCAAAAAGGACACAAAAGTGGCATAAGTTCATACGACTAACAAAGCAATGCAATAATTTTGTGAGAAAGTGACATTATTTACCTTAAACCTTTCCTAGTTTTTTTTTTTTTTCTTCATGTAATAGCTCTGAATCATTGTTTTGATACAGGGCTGCATTTCCCAAAAGCATCGTAAGCCTAAGTTGATCGTAGCTCCATTGGTTTCAATGGGTCTATGATGTACATAAGCTTACAATGCTTTTGGGAAACACAGCCCAGATCTTTTCAATGAATTTGTTGATTTAGTTCCCAAAACCAGTCTAAACGATTTATTCACAAATTGTGGTTTATTACTTTCCCACATCTATCGTATGACTTTAGAAGATAAACTTCTGTATAGCTGTATAGCACATATGGACCACTTTATAATGCTCTTTTCCATCCTTTGTGAAGAATGAAAGTATCATTTGCTTTTCATTGCAACTGTATGTGAACGATCGACCAAAATATCTTTCAAAATTTCTCCTTTTTTTGTTTCATGGAAAAGTAAGTCAAACAAGGTTTGAATGAGGACGAGTAAACGCTGACAGAATTTTCTGGGTGAACTATTCCTTTAACAGATTAATTCATTGTCTTTCATGCAGCTCTTCATTTGTAATCTCCTGCACTGGATCCTATTTTTGATGTGTTTTTTTATCTCCTGATCACACTGTGCACGACTAGTTGAGATCAAAGGCGAGCTTCAAAGCAGCAGGAGGAATCTGAAGCTAAAGGGGTCTGTCTCTCTCTCCATCTCATTCCTATGCTTCTCAAACACTCCAGCAGACACCACCCAGCACCCGTCTGGGCGAGGGCATGCCTCTTCCACCCTTCTCCATCATCACATTGGCTCTCTTTATCTGATTATTCTCAAACACAGCTATCAAAGACAGATAAAAATGACACGTCGCTGATTAAATGAACTAGAAACAACAGATTCAATGTTCTAAGGCCACAGGGGGAAAAAAAACAAGCGCCATTTGAGCTGTTCCAGTCCGTTTCTTCACATCCGATACTGCATTTTTACCGTATAAACTGAGCTGAGGAGCAGTTAAGTCTCTCCCTGATACCTCTGTGAACCTAAGATGACTCTGACCTGAACGACCTTGTCTATTTTGGTTCGGATGATCTTCAAAAACAGCTCTACCTGCCATCATGCATTATAAATGAAAGCTATGTTGTCTTTTCTTCATGCGTTCTGTTGACATACTTCATGTCAGGCGGGGAATAAAAGAGATAGGAAAGAACCCACTCAAGCTATCAAGATCCCAGACACCTAAAGTATTTTACAAATACTTTATATTTACAAATACCGTTCCAAGCTCATGGTCTTCTTCGTACCTGAATTTGCGAGTGAACCTTCTAAACCAGAGATTTTTTTTTACAGTATACAGGGTCCGTTCCCTTAATAAAGCATCAACCGACAAGTGCGTGAATAAGTGATCTTTTGGCACTTTATCCTGACGGGTGTGTACAGAAAGGAAGTGACATGGTATATTACATCATCGGCGTTCCTCTGAGTCATCCACAACTCACGTGACCTCTTGGCACTTGAACATAGGAGTAAATGGGAAAGGAGACTATTTTTTTTCTTTATATGAGGTACTGTATAATGCATGCAGACTACACACACATTGGACCGTACATAATAATTAATACTCTCCGGTAAGATGATCTCAAGCGAGTCCATTTGTTTGAAAACGAAGGTGGGGTTTCTCCACGTGTGATTTGAGCTGAAGGTGCTACTCGTCGCCGCTTGCGTATTTGAATCTCAGCAGCGCTATTATGGAGAGGGATTTTCAGTTCTTTAGGACGTCGTGCCATGGAGATCAGCTCAACTGACTCCTGTTTTAGAAAAGCAACAAAAATGCGAAGACAAAATAGAGTAACGTTTGTACATTCACATACGCTTACATGTAGAAAACGGGACATATGCACATAGAGAGACCGTAGAGCGGAGTTCATCCAGTTTGATACTGGCTTCTGGTCAATCCAAAAGTATTAGGGACATGCTGGTTGAACTTTGGCCCCCTTTTTGTTGGAGTTTCATTATTTCCCAAACAATGTCGATGCCTTGTGATCTCTCAGGCCAGTTGGATTTGAAAGTCTTAAGTTTGTACTAGCGTGTCGACATGCACATGTGTGTTGGTAGCAGCCGCTGCTTTCCAAGGAAAGAAAGAGACTTGAACTTTTGCCACACCCAGTGATGAGGAATTATACTAGCTGACTCAACGAAACAAACTCAAAAAGCACTCATGTATAAAAATAAAATTTGGAAGTAAAAGCCATCAACTGGACGGTAATGGTGAGGCAGTAGATGTCCGTTTCCTTCAGTCAAATCCTCCTGAAATGGTTTTAGCAAGCACATTTTTGAGGAAGTATCGGTGTCTTGCATTCATCACGTAAATCAGTGCTAGGCACATTGAACCAGATGAACTAAAGAAAAAACAACAACAATTCAGGTAAACAAAAAATGTTCCAGGAAGCTGCTCGTCCTACAGTTTTTTTCCTTAAAAAAAAAGACTGAACTCCATAGTTTCCACTCCTGATCCCGTCCTCAAGATGAAAGCCTTGAGACTTGCTTTCATCAAATAGTTGTCCATTGGTCTTAAAGGTGACCTCTTCACAAAATTGTAGAAAAAAAAGCACAGGCTATTGTTGGTGTCGAGTCTCTAGCCAGTGTTTCTCTCTTTTGTGTGGAGAGGCTTTGGATGATGGTTTGACTGATTGAAGGTCTTTCGTCCTTCGTTCCAGCTTTGTGTTTCTCTCAGCTCTCCAGTGACATGGCGGCAATGAGTTGCTCCACTTTGTAGGCTAGTCGCTGTTTCTTTGCCGTTTCGTCCTGTTCCAGTGCAGCAGTGATCTAGGAAAGGAACACAGGAAGGCGTTAATCACTGTACGGCATTACGACAGATCTCAGGTGAGGGGGCAGATTTTGTATGCTCGGAAGAACACATCATAACATAATGAAGGATGGAAAAATCAAAAATTTTATAAAGCATTTAATATGATCTCAGGAAAGAATATATTTCTGTCATGACAACTCTCGGAGGGATTGGCATGGTAATGTACATGATAATGTTAATGTATTTGGTCTTGGCGGAATAGATCTGCTACGCTGCTGCAGAGCAAGTACAGAGACTTGCTACTGCCAATACATCCACAACATGCTGCTGTAAGCATGTAAGAAATACTGCTGCTGCACATATAACACATGAATAACCCCCATATAGCATACATGAAACACTTCGTAGCAGATCTATACATATAGCTGGGGAAGGTGAAGGGTTTCTGAAGTGCGCTGCAAAACTGCAACAGCAAACAAAAGCCAGGTATTTGAATATTAAGCAGTAAGCTCATTGGCTACCGATACAGGAGAGAACCAATCAGCTGCCATGTGACAATGATGTCGCAAGGTCAGATTGAGCTAGACCTGTCGGACTGCGCCTTCTAGAGTTTCATGCCAGAACTCTGTATTTATTATAATAGAACATTAAAATATATTTTAAAATTTATCTTATTCAAAAAGAATGTTTGATATTAACTTTAAAAAATATAATAAATATCTAGAACTCAAGGGAAATGTATTGAAAAGTTAGTTGTAGGAAAGTTTCTTGGCAGATCATAACTAAGCTGTCTAAAACAAACAGACCACCTATCAACACCTGGAAACTGACACTACAGACATTCCTAAAGATCGGATTTGAAAAACAAATCAGAATTGGGTTCAATGTGAACAAAGGTGATGTTTCAACTAAAACATAAAACCATTAAACATCAGACACATTCTTCAGATGGCATACTCCATATCTAATTATCACGACTAGTTACTGCTCACTGTGATAGGAGACTTGGACTAATTTTCAGTCTCTGAGAGAAAAATTGCCAGACACTTCATTTCATGAATATTTAATTAAAAAGGAAAGTATAACTTGAGTCTGACCCAAACTGCAGAGTGCCATCTCTCATTTCCATCTGTGTGTGTTTTTCTGAAAACAGAGCAGTCAAAAATGTCGAGTCGTGTTGAAAGGGGGCGGGCAGACGGGATCGACCCCTCTCTGTGCTCATGTCATAATCTCTGACCACGGTGTCAGAGGAACACGGCAGGAAGTGGCATCGTGGCTTCTGTCTGCCATTCATTTGCAGTGAAAATAATGGGAAACTAGATCGATACGGGCACATCTAGCGAGCCAAGATGGGGCTTCATTAATGATAGCTTTCAAAGTCTAAAATGGTGGACGTGAGAGCACTGAAGGGTGGGTGTATGTGGAAATCTCCTCTTGTAACTGCGAAAGAATGATTGATTGTAAACAAAGACAATCTGGTTCACTGCTCTAAAACTCACAGCGATCTAATACTTCCAACTTTATAAATACTATGTTGCTCAAGTGACATGTTTATCCAAACTATACAAGTACTTCTAAGGAGTAACTGAAAGGTAAAATTCTGTGCTTCTGAAAGGAGAAAAGTTCTCCTTCTATGGAACACACAAGGAGAATGTTCACTCTGCATTTGTTATCATACATCAAAGCATAAAAAGTGACTGTACAGGAACTGTCAAACAGTGTTATTAAGATTAATTAGTTTTTAGTTAAGGTTTAGTTTTTCTTTCCAGCTATTAATTGTATTAATTCAACTTTAAAATATCTTAGTTAGTTGGTAAAGGCAATATTTCTAATTTCAAAAGTTTAATTAATTTGAATAAGTTTTAGTTAATAGTTTTTTAATGATAACAAAAAAAGTGCATAAAATGGTCAAATACCATGCAAGTCTGTGTAGATATTTAAGGAACAGACCAAAATCTTGTAATTTGTTGTAATATAAATAAAATGATCAAAAATTTAATTTAGTAATGTGTAGTCAAGCTCATTTGGATGCCATCTATGCATATTCACAGTAAAATAATAATAATAATAAAAAAAAACTGTATAAAGACTCCCCTACTAAGGAAACCCCAGTGAATCTTAGCGATTTCCACCACATGTTCTTGTGTGTATCATAACTGATTGTGTTACTCCTAGTTTGAATATACAGAAGTTCTGTATGCTGTATTTAAAAGAGCAGCGTGAACATTCTGCAAAATATCTTTTGTGTTCCACAGATTCATATAGTCATGCAGGTTTGGAATGTCATGAGCGTGATTTATTTATTTCTTTTTAGGTAAACTGACCCTTTAAATGCCTTGCTCAAAGGCACAATCTCATGAATCTTAAACTAATCTGCAACCTTTTGGGTAAACCTTAGGGATCTTTAATACATGCTATATCACCCCAGACAAAATCCAAACCAAGTTCGGCCCAGCCTTGCTCAGCTTGGAGTTTCATCCCACCGATAATAAGGAATTACATCAGTGTCACTTCACCATCAAACTGAGATGCATTCATGCATAAAAGTCAAATTTGGAAGCCATCAACTGGATTGTGAGGCACTAGATGTCTTTTTCATCTTCTACCAGCATCCCACTATTCCCAGTACACCTGCCATCGGAGCCAAGTTGGGCCCACACCTGCTGGGTTCGTCTCCACGGCTGTAGCTACGGGGCAGGTCAACACTCCTACAGCTGCTGCGAGCTTGCGTTCCAGGTTCACAGCGTGAGCATGTATTCGACGAGGAGCTCGTGCACTGAATTTTTCATGCATTTCAGCACAGCTGCAGGAGCACTCTCCACATCATTGTGTCTGATTCAGTTGCCTTCATTTTAAGAAGAGCGCATTTTCTCTCTCTCTCTCTCCATCTCTCATCAGGTTAAGTGCTCTAGAGCGCTGACAGAGGTAATTATTTTCAGTTGTCCTATTCGCATTGTATAATGAATCTGAATTACTGCATGCAGGTACGGAGTGTCCCGCCACACACATTTGGCTGGGTGAACAAAAGAATGTTCTCCTCTTAGCATTGCGCTTGCTTATTCATTTTTGGAGTTCGGCAGGGAAAATAAACACAAGCAGGTGGCTTGATGGTCTACACTAGTACTTCCAAACATTGTTTGTCTCCCACACGGCTCAATTCACTGACAGCAAACCAGACATGCTTTCCTTTACTTTTCATTTTAACTACTATTATATTGGTTATAGGATACAGTATTTCTGCTTTCGTACATTAGAAAAGTTAATTGGCAGCATCTTGAGCGGTTACTGTTTTAAAACGGCCTCTGATGACTTTAGTATTGATTTGATGTCTGATAGATGGCTGGACACTCAAGAGTCACCAGTTAAAGTAAGAAGGGAAAAAAAAGGAAAGATGCAAAGAGCTGTATCAGAGGAAACTTAAAATATAAAACAACTTGAATTGCAGATTAGTAATAATATTTACATTAATGTCTACAAAAATACTATACAATATTATCGACTCAAATCAACATTCAAAACTTGAATTGCAGATTAATAATAAATACAGAAATAAAAATTAAATACGTAATAAAATACATTAAAATCTACATGAAAGATAATACATTATTTTCAACTCAAATCAACATTTTATGTCCATGCATTTTTTATATATAGTATCATTTTATACTATTATACAGTACTGACTATATATATATATATATATACACACACACACATACATATATAAACAATTTTAATTAAAATTAAATATATTTTATAATATTTAATATGTAAACTTAAAATATTTTAATTATAACCTTTTTATCTAATATTTATATTTCCTATTTATTTATTTATACAAGTAGCTGTATATTCACACCAAATTTTGCACTATTATTGTGTCATCCACACAAATTATATTAACTTACATTATAATAATTTTATATTATGTACTATTATATAATATTTAGTGTGTGTGTGTGGTGTGTATGTATATGGACTTTACATTTAATATTTATTTAAATAATTATCTGTATATAAGCAACATAATGTACAATCAGCCACTGTGTCATCCACACAAACTGCCTAACCCAAAACTCACATTATATTTTCTGTCCTTAAAAAAGCCAAAAATTAAAAATTTGACACCTCTAAAATTGGTTAAAATAATTACATGTAAATTTACTGATTTAATCTACAAAGCAAACTTGAAATTTTCCCAAGTACCCTCTGGAATCTGAAGTACCCCTGGTATAAACATACTCCTGCATTGATAATCACTGCTCTATTTGTAGAAAGACAGACTCTGTGTACAAAAGAATGAAAAGGACACACAAAAAAGAGAGATTGAGAGTATGCGGGTATGTGAGGACAAGAGAAAACAGACCAGCAACCAAAGAAACGATATTTACATGAGAGCGAGAGGAGAGGCTGCTGGCGGAGCTGTGTCTCCGGGCTCTTGGCGCTGTCCTAAATGCTGTGTAAAGTAAAGGTCAGACTAATGGGTCCCCTGAGTGGAGCTGCCATTACGGTTGGAACATCTCCATCGTGGGCCCTACTCTAGCGCTCTTTGTGTCGGAGTGGCTGTCAGTGATCTAGCTGTGTGTAATCTTCCTCATCAGAAGCCTATTCATTCTCGCTCTCTGTCTGTCCCCACACTGTGCATAAGTGTGTGTGTGTGTGTGACTCTAAAGCTTGCTGCCGCTGACTTTAGAGACTGGTTAAAGATGACATCATTCTGTGAAACTCTATTTCACGAGTACCTCTTGTTTCAAAGTGCTGGTTATTCCACAAATATAGCTGTGTTGATTTTGGGCAAAGTGTTTATGATTGAGTAATTACACCAGTAAAAATATATATAAAAGTACAGACATCAACTTTTGGCAACTAAATCGTGGTTTACTAACCAATCATCTGTCAGCTAGACTTCAGTAAAAGAATATAGTACTCTAGATACAAGAAACATTGTCTGGCTTTGACGTAACGTTCCAGAGTATTTTTATAGTGACACTCTAAGCCTTGAACAATCAATCCGTAAACAAAATAAATGTTTTATAATTTACTTTTTGCGGCTATATTCAGGCATTTTAGACAGTGAAGCCAGTTGATTTCAGTACAGAGCAGATAAACTGAGCCAAGAAGTCAGTCTGCATTGATATAATGCAAGAAATCAATAAGGATGTTTTGAAAATTAGGGTTGACGGCTTGTTTTGATATTTCGCCTCACCTCTTCGCTGTACTTGCTAATGTAGGAGTAAATCTCGTTGAGGGCACTGAGCATGTTAAACTCATTGGAGTGCAGTCGTGCCTGTTCCGCCAAATACGCATTCATGTCCTGATCGGAGATGGCTGGAAGCCTGCTGATGTCAGCATAGTACCTGTGGAGACCACCAGGGGGCGACAGTCAATACTCAAAATCAACCTTGTGTGAGAGCATGCTTGTACTACTACAATTATTAACATTGTATGAAGTACAAGAGTTGTTACAATGCTACAAAATACTACAAAAATAACAGATAAGAAATTAAAATATTGTTAATACAATTCAATTGTTTACCTTTCTACCCAGTTCTTGTAGTTGGGGATATCTTTAGCATAAAGCAGCTTATTAGAGGGCGAGTCTTTGCCCAATCTGTGTTCAGATGTGGAACACGAGTCCATAAAGGTTTGAGCAACCACAGACAGACACGCATCTGTGATGCTGCTCTTATGTATGTCAAAAACAAACTGGGGATTCTTGATCACATTCACCCAGAAACGCAGAGGAAGGCTGCGGGGGATAGACAGACACAAACATAGAAAGAGAAAAGTTACATTGGTTTGAATTGCAGATACCGGGTAAAAACAACTGTTATTTTTTTGTTCTTGAGGTTGGGTATCGTGTACAAGTGTGTCCTCTCACCAGTTGCTTTTCCAGGTGTGGCGGACGTCAGTGTCATGGATGCTGTGCTTGTCCGCTTGTTCATCCAGGAAGTCAAACATGTATTTAATAGCTAACGGAAGCGCGCTGCCCCTGTGCACCGTACTGAAAAGAGTCTCGAACAGGTCATCCACAAATTTCTGCAGTGTACCCTAATTAATAAAAGAAAGACTGACTGTTAAACAAGCATAACATTAAGAACAAATACATAGGAACCAAACTATACACTTTTCTAGAATTTCATTTTTTTTTTGCACAATATCAATGACAAGTTTTCTAATTGTAAGTCCTCAGTTTTTTTTGTTGTTGTTTATTTAATCAAATGTAAATTCATGTCCCAGTCACATTTTCTTGGTTAAATAAACATTACTTACACTATCAGAAAAAGAAAAAATTAAATTTAATATTTTTACGTTAATGTAATCAATATTCTATTTATAAAAGTATGAAATTTCATGTTAGTGTTTTTAAGCATTTTACGTTTATTCCAAAACAATAACTCAAGGCAGTAACAATTTAAACAATATATTTTATTTGTGAACTTATGTTCAGCTATTCTTTTTAATAGTTAACTTTCAACTATTTCTTCATTTTTCGGATCATCAGTCTGTGGTCACAGACAGAGATTTAAAATTTCTCCAAGCTGATCACAAAAACTCCCACAGATCCTGTTTTCATGCCATTTTAAGTCTTATTTTGATGCAGCGAAGTGGTTAAATCTAAGTGTTAGAGTTGTTTACTAGCTTTTTTAAATTACACAAACACAAGAGGTGGGATTAATCGTGTGAACCAATCACAACCAGACGTAACTAGTCATATCACAATGGAGACATTGCCTCCTCTCACGTGACTTTCCCCCATTCATTCTTCACTTCTACCGAGCGCGCGAGGACTGCATTAACCGCTGGGCTACATCATCTGTCATTCACCGGTGAGAAATCTTTAAAAGTACTACAATACCAGGAAGGAAGATCGATGTAAAGTTTGTTGGAAAATGTGGTTTAAACAAAGCTATTTTCCATCCAAATACCAGTTTAACCAGCTGGTTTGTTGCTAAGAAGTTTGTTGATCTAAGAAGGTCATGGACATTTTTTTCTAGAAAAATGTGTTAATATTAAAGGAGACATATTATGCCCCTTTTTACAATATGTAATATAAGTCTCTGGTGTTTCCAGAATGTGTCTGTGAAGTTTCAGCTTAAAATACCCCACAAACCATTTATTATATCATTTTGAAAATGCCTATTTTGAGTGGAAGCAGAAACACGCTGGCTCGTCTGTGCAGCCAAAGGCAGAACAGTTAGCATGTTTTGCTCAAAATTTCGCCATGGCATTAGAGCTGGTACACCGTTGTCGCTTGCGAAATCAAAATGACGGCGCCGTGGATGGAAACTTACAGATTATAGCGCGGTAATATTATAATGAGATTCATTTGCAACGTCACTAGGGGAGCGAAATCAGACGCCTCGTTTTTTCAGACGCTTGTCTTTAGTTTGAAATTAACCGCTAAAAGCAGAGGTGTTACCTTAGTAGCTAGCAGGCGGGTGAGGTAGATCTCAGACACCATCTTGCTGCCGCGGTCACCCTCCTTTTGGTCTCCGTGCTCATGGTTCTTAGGTTTTAGATCTGTGTGGCAGCAATGTACAATAAATAAATCCACTGCTTTCTTGTCTCCTCTGAGGTTGGGACTCTAAATAGTGTTCTGTGCTCGTCTGTGCAGCCAAAGGCAGAACAGTTAGCATGTTTTGCTCAAAATTTCGCCATGGCATTAGAGCTGGTACACCGTTGTCGCTTGCGAAATCAAAATGACGGCGCCGTGGATGGAAACTTACAGATTATAGCGCGGTAATATTATAATGAGATTCATTTGCAACGTCACTAGGGGAGCGAAATCAGACGCCTCGTTTTTTCAGACGCTTGTCTTTAGTTTGAAATTAACCGCTAAAAGCAGAGGTGTTACCTTAGTAGCTAGCAGGCGGGTGAGGTAGATCTCAGACACCATCTTGCTGCCGCGGTCACCCTCCTTTTGGTCTCCGTGCTCATGGTTCTTCACCAGGTGCCAGACTTTGACTCCGCTCTCCAGGTCCGGGGTGATCATAGGAGCACGGGAGCGCAGGCTGTCCGGACTGCCTGTGTAGCGGAATGTCGAGTCTGTGGGAACAGAGAGAGAGAGAGAGATAAAGAAAGAGGATTATGATCTTCTTACACCTCCATTCTTCCACATTGCCATTCTTTGGGATGAACAGAAAGAGCGTTGCCTTCTCACATTTCATTTACTCTGTTTAACCATCTCTTTCCTCCTCTCACTCTCTGTAGAGGATTCGTCGCTGTATTGTTCGAGACCGAGCGAGATGAGTCGACACTCTCTGGCCTCTTCTTCAAAGGCTTCATAATTGGCTCGTCCTGATTCATTGTGCTGCAGACATGCTTTAAACGTCTGCATCGCAGGACCTAATCAATGCATCTAAAGATTTCTAATGAGTTAAGCTCCCCACTCATCCAACTCATCTCCTTGTCCCCTCCATCTTCGCGTGTGAAGTAATCAGTCTCTTGCTCACTTCTCCAATTAGATGTGTGGCTTTTCCTAAAATATACAACAAGCCTTTTGCAATAAAATAGATCAAAGTGTCAAGCGTGACCCTAAAAACTCTTAACCACCAAATTCAGGGGGAGGATACAAAAAGATTGAGGTTTGTTGGTTAACGAGAGCACGGCTGAGAAATAAAGATAGCTTTATAGAGTATTTCTCAGGTTACTTGTTGCGTCTTTGGCCGTTTGAAGTGTTCCCTGAACTTTAAATGTCATTATGTTTACAAGTGATAAGAGACGATAATTACACTCTTTCATTATACCGCATATACGTGAGACACATCCTCAAGCTTTGATAAACAGAATCGTGTAATACGCAGATACGGGCCGCATTTCATGTGGATCTAGTGAATTGAAGCCAGGTGAGATGTTTCTGTGCTTCGTTTGGCAGGGTTGCTAGGTGACAACGCACAAGGGGCTCCATTTCATCGCTGGCCCTAGAATTTGGCTGCGTGTCATTTGAGTTTTTTTGCCCGTGTGAAGTATCATCAGTGGTGCATAATTAGCAATCAGAGAGTGGCCTGCAGCTCAGTGTGATGGAAAATGAGAACGGGCCAGATGGGGAGCCCTGTGGCACTCCCTCAAAGCAACGCTATGGGGAAGGAGCTAATGTGTCCAATTACGGGTGGCATCCAAACTCAGCAGAGAAATCAGCATTACTGTGCTTCACACTAACTGCTAACATCTCTCTCTTTTCCTATTACCCTTCCTGACATGGTCTCTCACTTTTGCTCTCATTCTCTGGTGCCCAGAAAGCTCCCTTGGGCATCCTATAGGGCTGCAAAGCCAAACTGCAGCACGTGGCTTGTGCGCACAGTTATTATTTAAAGCCAATCTTCAGCTTTGTATTTACCTCAAAGACCTTTGTATTGTAAAACAAGGAACAAACTTCAAACTTCTAATTAGCTAAACAGACAACGTCACCATCATTATCATCTGACAAATATACTCACCATATCTACTGATAGAAGTTCGAGAGATGCTAGTTGTGGGTGGAATGTTGTAGGAGGACGTCTGCTTGGGCACCAAAGCAACCACACAGCGGTCTGATACCTGTACAGGAAATACAAAGTTTAAGTCAAGCTTCTTTCTTTTCCCTGTAATCCTTATTTCACAGTTTTTGGTTTCACAGGCTCTTATTATCAAGAAACGTTCAAGATAGTGGAGCACAACTAATGCTGTTTTATTCTGCTTTTGAGGAGTTGTTATTACTTCGGAATTAAATATATTTTTTGCAGAACAGATTCTCAGTACATATCTATTGCTTTTCAAAAATGGTGTGAAATTGTTCGGTTTCTCCCCAGTGCCGAAATAAAGCGACGTTAAAGTGCTTCAAAAAGATCTGTTCTAGTTATAAATGTATAAGGGGTGTTCATGCTGTGTTCTCAGATCAAATGCGCATTAAAGCCTCTTCTTGGGTAAAAGCAGAGTTTCGCCTCTTGTGTTTCGCACAGAAGGAGGTTTGTGATTAGGCAAGAAACCCATATTTACATATGACAGCACATAAGATCTGCTTCACTGAGACGCACGTCACTCTACAGCACTCAAAGATGACTGATGGAGTAAAAGAGAGAGAGGGAGGCTCATTGAAATGTAATGGCGTCATTCACTGCCTGTTGTGCCTTGTACACTCCAGAAAGGTGAGTACCGAGCTTAAATAGTACAAAATATAGCTGTAAGCTGCAATATGAATGGCCCAAAAAGAAGAGAAAAGAAAAAGGAAATTAAATACACATGTAACACCAAGATTTGGACATCACGAATGCAATTTTGCGGTAACTCAAACTGACAAACAGTGCTGAGCTTGCATATTTTTATATCCCTGTTGCTAAGCAACTACTGATAATCCATCCCATAAATTAGATTATTAAATTAGAGGGGAAAAAAGTGTTGCAAAATTTTGCTACTTTTCACCATAGAGAAAATATGCTAAAATAATAATAATTGTAAATAAAATAGTTTTTAATAATAATAAAAAATAAAAAGAATAACCTGAAGATAAGCTTTTTAAAAATAAGAAACCGTAATATAAAAAAATTACCTGCACTATAAGCTTTTTAATAATATGAAATAGCATAAATAAATAAATAGATAAATAATCCACACTATAATCAACAATAGCTGCAGCTAGATTCATGTACACTGATCGAAAGAGAGTAGCTAACACAGAATGGAGGGTAATGGTAAAAATACAAACACAAAGGCAGGTCAACAGGAAGAGTTTGACAGGCGAGGGAATGTAGTGATTGAGTCATTTAGAGAGGAGAAAGCAGAAAGGGATGAGGAAAGATGAGGTTATGGAGTCCAGGACTTTTATACATTGGGGTGAAACTCTCCATTTTTCTCTGTCTGCTCTGTGAGTGCTCGTGCTCCATCTGATCTTCTGTATTAATCTGAACTGTCAAGGGCTGCGGAGGAAATGACGTCTACCCTCACAAAGACAACTGACTCAACCTCGATTCAGCACAAGAAAGCAACTTCCTGAAAGCAAGCTGGCAAAATCCTGGCCGATTCTCATACACTATCTGGTTTGGAGGTGCCTATCTTGGTCTCTGTGTTTAGCTGTAAACTATAATAAATGTGTTTCAGAGATTCATTAAGTAGTACTCTCAATATTGCAGCAATTACTCTTCAGAATCCTTCAGAAATGACTCTAATAGGCTGATTTGCTGCTCAAGAAACTTATTATTATTACTAAAAACGTCGAATTTTATTCATTTAACAACAGCTACTGAAAATAGGTCAACATCCTCATTTATAAGCCAAAGGTCTCTCAGATACTAGCGAACTAGGTCAAGTGCCACAGTCTTAAGATATCCAGTCAACATAAAACATCACATTTCAAGTCCATTTCATTTCAGAAAACCTCTCTGTCCACCATAATGGAGACGATAAGCACCTCCTGAGCTCCTGTGAAGGCTGAGGGTAGTTAGGAGTCTTCACTCACCTCCCTACACTCTCACGGCTGATGATGGTGTTACTTTAGCCCCTGTACACCCCCATAAGCTCCAACCCTATTAGTGCAGGTTTCTCCTCATCCGACCCTCACTGCAGAGCGGCCTAATAGCCTGACTGGAGAGACACTTGAAAGAGTCCAGAACTGTGGACGAATCACCTCAGAGAGGCGGCCGAGTGGGATGACACTCACAAACGTCTTTTTTTTTTTTATAGCTCACTTTCTCCCTCCATGGGTTGTGGAACTGGTATGGCTGGTAAGCATCAAATATTAGTCACTGGAGAACATTATTTTGGGTAATGGTGTTTGTAACTTATATTTTTGGCTCCACACCACCTACAGTAGCCTCCCATGCTGCCACATGTACAATCTACTCTTCTTCTCCCACAGCGGGTCTCTGTGGTGGAGGAGGCGGCCATACGGAGCCTAAATGATGGAGGGGAGATGCATTCGCCCTTGAGGGATAATCCTCAGCCAGGTAGGCGGGCCTCCGATGGGTGTGAGAGTGATAAGGGGTGAGCTTTCCTCATGATAACGTTTGCATCAAGCGGACAGCTGACCCCATTTCCCCATGTATCTCTGATCCCCCTGCCTGTGCTCTATCTGATGGCGATCCGCAAGCTAAAGCGCCTTTAACTCAGATGCCGCATCCAGGCGGTGGGGAAGGATGAGGCGATGTGTCCGCCATTCTGCCTCTTCTTTGAAATACGGCAGGCTCGGTCACGCTAGCACAAAGAGCGTGAAACGCCTTTGCCACATGATAAACACAGCAGAATGATGGGCGTTTAATAGCTGAAATGGATGAAAGCATCATAATACAGATGGCAAATGTGTTGAGATGTAAAATGTAAGATGCCTAAAAAGGGAAATCCAAGGGAATTTAACTCTTAACAGTTAAAATACATAACGTACGTCTGCATTGTATGTCTAGTATAAGTGATGATCAGTTTACAAACAGGCTTGTATGTCAGACTGTAAGTCCTTGAGCTTTGTCAGCACTGGAAAAGACAGCTTAACCCCCGGCAGTGAGCTATGCCAAGCATCTTACACAATGATATACAACAGAGATTTTTATCTATTTTCTTTTGGAGCCAACAAAGCTTACTTACACTTATGAGCATCAAGGGCTTGTGCTAAACGCACACACATGGCAGCTTCTGTGAAGGTGCACTGTGAAAGACTAAAAGTTATCTAAATTTTTTAAATTATTAATTATAAATAAATTCAAATCCAAAACAAATTCATTCAGAAACAAAAAACTGACTGTCGTTATGAGTGAGTCAGTGAATTATTCACTCAACTGAGTTCTTCTATTAACGTCTATTAACCAAAGAGGAAACATTAAACTGATTAAAAGTGACAGTAAAGATATTTATAATATTACGGAAGGTTTCTTTTCAAATAAATGCTCGTCTTTTGAAGTATTCATCAAAGAATCCTGAAAAACAAACATATTAGGCAGCACAACTTTTTATTATTAATAATAAATATTTCCTGATCAATGTTTCAAAAGATTTGTTTCAAATATATACTGTTCTTTTGAACTTTGTATTTCATCAAAAACAATCTTGAACAAAAAAGTATCATGGTTTCCACAAAAATATTAAGTAGCACAGCTGTTTTCAACATTAATAATAATAAGAAATATTTTTTGAGCACCAAATCAGCATAACAGAATGATTTCTGAAAGATCATGTGACACTGAAGACTGCTGCTGAATGGCTGCTGAAAATTTAGCTTTGACATCACAGAATAAATTACATTTTAAAATATATTAGAATAAAAAAGCAGTCATTTTAAATTGTAATATTTCACAATATTACTGTATTTTTGATCAAATAAATGCAGCCTTGGCGAACTTAAGAGACAAACAAAAGAAAAAACAAATCTTGTCGACCCTTTCAAACAGTAGTGTTTTTTCTCTGTTTACTATTTAACTATGTAAGACTAGTTGGTCTTAAGGAACCCTGCTAAAACAACTTGCATCAGTCTAAACAGGACTGCTGGTGTATCTAACCTTGTCTGTTTTGATCATTTTAGAAAGGTGTTGGGCACTTGTCAGCTGGTCAGGTTTAGGTAAACCAGCTGAACTCCACCTTAAACCAGTTAAGACTGCCAATCTAGATTAGGTTTAGGTAACTAGTGGAGTTTGGAAATACATTGTTTTGCACACTCCTAGTTAAAGCGCCTTATTGAAAGTACTGTGCTATACAACTGCTGAAACATTCCCTGTGAGGGATAATAACACACACATTAACAGAGGCCTGTTTATTTGAATTGTTAATGCCAGTGTCTCTCATGCTGCTCCAACTATTTAAATTGGAAATTTGAGGAGTACGGTGGCCCCTCACGGACACGCTGCCAGTCCTCTGTAATGTCACTCAGCCTACGCAAGGTCAAGAGGCTCACTGATTTCAAGTAAGACTGGATGAGTGAGAAAGAGAAGAAAGAGAGCGAGCGAGTGGGAGAAGCAGCAGAGCCTAGAGAAAAATGTTCAAGCTAGCATTCAGACTGATGAAAACTTTTTTACACTAGTGCTCTAATCAGCCCAGTGCAATCAAAATGAGCAATCAGCGAAGAACATGGTGACCACAGGTTTATGAAGCCACAGCACGAAATGTTAGAGAGACACAGCTGCTGATTATACTGTCTGCTCTCTTAAAATATGCCCTTACTCTACTGAGGAACTCGACGAACGGCGGAGATTAGCATATCCGTATTATTTCAGGAGAGGTGAGGGTGCTTGTGTGGAGGGCTCAGGAGTCATGTATTTTAATGCAGTGTTCTCTACAGCTCCCTGCCTTCTGTTTTCTCTTTTCTTTCCCTAAACTCTCTATTTCACCAGTCTCTGTGGAAACAGCAAGAGTTAATATAGCAAATAGTGAGTATACAGCTCCCTAGCAAGATACCTCGTGATTTACTTTGAATATGTCACACACTTCTGCACCATATGACATACAGTATGCAGAGGAAAACAACAACAGCCATCATAAAAGTTGCTAGGCAATTCAGTCAAAAGTACAAAGGCAGCGCTCTGATATACAGTATTAATGTTACATAAAATATAACGTGATGAGATTTTGCCCTCAGCCAAAACGATTTGCTCTGGAAAATTTGCTAAAAACTCGGGGAAACGGTTGGAGTTCTGTTATCACTAGAATATCATACTCTTATCAGCCAATCAGATCTGAGGATCAGAAAGAACTGTTGTATAAATATACTGTATATAGAAAATGATAAAAGAATATAATTAATAATTTATACATAGAAATATAATTTTTTTTTATGGCTAATATACAGTTATCACAGTTCCACTGTAGTAACAACAACTAAGTATGGCATTTTGTGGGAAATGTTTACCATGGTAAATTTTTGCAAAGGTAGTTCTCAACACTATGACATGAAAACGATATTTCCTTTTTTTCTGTATGATCTCTTTTCATGTCTGTCTCTTCCTCAGATCACACATTATGACAGCACATATGATGAGCTCTTTCAGGAATAATTATGAGAATATATGTGCGCATGTCCTGTGGCATCTCCTCTGGACACAAAAAGAGGCAAAATGTGCACATACTCTCTCTCTCTCTCTCTCTCTCTCAATAAGTGCTGTTATCAGGTAGCTGCTCTGACGTGTGCTGTCTCTGTGGTGTCTGAAGTAAAGACAAGGTAAAGGCTGTAATTAATCCACTGAAGGTAAAGGACAGATTCTCTCTCTTTCTTTCTCTCTCACACACACACACACACACACACAAGCACTTTTCCAGCAACACACTTAAAATTTTCACTGGCCAAGCTCAATAATTGTCCTCTATTATATTGTCCTGTGTTGTGAGATCTGCTGGTCTGTCTCCCTGGAGCCAAACACTCACAGCGAGACATTTTGGAGCACTGTGTCAGATAAAGGAAATATTTTTTTTGTTGAGCCTAATTATTGTTTCATGTCTGAGGAGTTAAATGGATATACAGAGGATTTATTTTTGTAGCATGTTGTCTTTGTTGTTGTGTTTTTTTTAATGATTCCTGATTTTTTAAAGATGCTATAATCTATAGTTTTGTAGCATTATAATGTTTTTCATTCCATTTTAATCTTTAAGGATATTTCTATTTGTTCACTAGGAAAAATACTGATTAAGAGCATGAATTTTTGCTATTTTTGCACTGGGGAGAGAGCTTTGCATTGAGAATGGATGAGTATGTCTGCATAGTACATTAGATTCTTTTTTTCTATCAAAGAAAAATCAAAGAAAATCCATGATACATCCCCTTTAATGTCTACCCGCTTAGACAGAAGAGGGCACCATGAGATTATGTATGAGCGTGTGTGTCCTCTTTTGTACCTGATAGTGCATGAGAGTGTTGAGCCTCTTCCAATCATTTTCAATCTTAGTGGTGATGTCTTCATCCTGCAGGACCACTCGGGCCATTCGTCCCTGACGCCACTCTGAAGAATCAAACATTTGCCATTAAAACAGACACAGTGAACCTCCCCCAGCTCAAAGCAGATTGATTTGATCCAAAGCTCTGAATGTGTCTTTTCACATGGGTTAGAAATGTGTGTGTATGCGCGGTAGGGTATAATTAAATGCTAAAGAGAGAGCTGATAGGATATAGACAGGCTCAGAGTGAGAGTGATCATTGATTTTCTCCTCTGTTGAATGGGGTTTATTAGTTTACGTGGTTGCCAAATGCACAGATGATGCCTGCAGAAACCTACCCCCAACACACACACACATAGACACACACAAAAGCAATGCCAGTTCTGCAGCTACAGAGACAGAACATCATCATGGAGGAGATTGCTCTGGCCAAGGTGCTGGAAGGATGATTTGCACCGCTGACAGGGGGCTTTTGTGTAGCGTGTGTGTGAGATGGGCATTTGTGTGCCAGAAATGAAATGTGGAGTCAGTCTGTCAGCGCCGTCTGTCAGCTTTTACCTGGGTCACACACTCACACACACCTGCTTGTGTGTGTGCAAAAAGTGTACATTTCTATCACTGTTTATGCATTTCAGACAATGTGGAATCAAATTAAAATAAGTTTACATTTCTTTAAAAAAATGTGAGGTCATTATATATTGAAATGTATCAATAAAAAAGCTTTTCTGTGACTCTTTCTGCAGGTTACATTGTCATGGCAGTAGGTGATGACTTTTTTTGTTATTAGTGTGTCATTGAATCATTCATTCAAACCATTTTGTTCAAAAATCACAGATTCATTCAGAAATTAAACAAGTGACTCTTTCTGAGTGAGCAAATAAATCATTCATCCAGCTGATTCTTTTAAAACACTGATTTATTAAGGAACAAAACGTGGTTGTCTTTATATATTTCAATCACTAAATTCAAAATCACTGTTCAATCATTTAGAAATTCAACAATTGTTTTTTATGCGTGAGTAATTGAATCATTCAAGTTAACCGATTTGTTCAAAAGGACTAATGCGATCAAGAATATATCACATGACTATCTTTGTGAGTGAGTCAAAGAACTCATTCACTCAAATGATATGTTCACGAAAAAATATTATTTCAGGAATTAAACAAACGACTCTATGACTGAGTAACTGAATCATTCAGTCAACCGATTCCTTCAAAACGCTGAACAAAAAGTGATCATTTTTATACTGGGAATCATTAAATCATTCACTCATACTATTCAATCAGAAACACTGATTTATTCAGGAATGATACAGGTGACTCTTTATGAGTGAGTAACTGAATCATATAGTCAACTGATTCCTTCAAAACACTGAGAAATTAAGCAGCAAAAAAAAGTGCAGAAAGAAAGAATCTGTTCAAAAACACTGATTCATTCACTAAATGATTCATTCAAATGATTCATTCTGTTGCGCCTTCCTTTTTTGGGTGAAAAAAAACTCAATATTGTGTCTAAAATGTTAGTTTCTCATTTTTAGCTTACATTTTGAAAGCAATATCACACTCGTGTGCACACGTTAAACTCACCCAGGTCCATGTCCACAGCTTTGGGTCTCTGTGAATACGGCATATTCTTATACACGGCATCCAGAATCTTTTCTTTGACCTGCGTGATGGTGTCACAGTTCAGAACCTTGACTGGGATCTCCGGGCTGTTCTCGTTCTCTGGGTTGACGCAGTTTAAGATCTGGAGGGAAAAAAAGAGAACAAGGATAATGAGATGTTGGGCTGTGGTCGGTGATGCCGTAGGTGCGGAGCGTGGCTCTGGAAAAGGCCATTTCCTGGCCCGAGAAATCTAATTTCACACCCTCTGCAGGACCCCAATCTCAGCCTTAGCAGGGTATGAGAGACTAATGAAGACTACCCTCCTTCGGCCAGACTGTCTTGATTTCAAACACGCACACACACAAATGTCTGGTCAGCTATCCTTGTGGGGACTCTCCATAGGCGTAATGGTTTTTCTACTGTACAGACTGTATTTTCTACACCAACCCTACCCCTAAACCTACCCCTCACAGGAAACTATGAGAGTTTATTAGATACTATGTTTATTAGTGTGGCTATGAGGGTGTGTGATGCTGACCAGTGTCTTGTAGTCAATCTGTTGTCGAATGAGTTTGTCCTCACTGAGGGAGTATCGGGCTTCTCCGGTGATGGCGTCTATTGGGCCTTTTTCCATCTGCTGTTTTATAGCACAGTACAGCATGAAGAGAGGCTCACCTGCACACTCCTGTAGACACAGACACCAACACACATTATTATGATTATTATTACTTTATCACTTATACGCTGACTGCTCTAGTGCTGTTTGAAATATCACACTAGCATACTACTATTTCTGCAATATATAGTATGTATACTACCATTCATTTAAAAAAAAGAAAGAAATTAATACTTCTATTCAGTAAGGATGCATTGAATTGAATTGTAAAGACATTTGTGGTGTAACAGGATTTCTATTTCAAATTTTATATTAAATACGAACACAATGAAGTCATGTGGCTAATCAATCAAGATCATGTGGCAACAATGTACATAACAGACTACCATTTTAAATGTTTATTATTGCATAATGTGTACAGTTAGTATGCAGTATGTATTATATACTGCACATTCATGTTTACTTTTGACAATTTTTGACTAACATAAAAAGGCTTTCTCAAAAACAAATTTGTTTTAAACATTCCCAGGTTACTAACATATGTTTCTGCCGAACTTCTCACTGACTTGATTCGCCCCATTCATGGCGAGATATAAAAATATATTTTAGTTCGAGACACTTAGCAGCAGCAAGTAAACATGATATCCTTGAGCACAACTGAATGCTAAAACTCTAAAGTCCGACCATGAAGTCTAAACACATTAATGTCTTTGATATTTCTCCTACGACTGTTTCCAGAGACTCCAATTATTTGAATGAGCTCCTACAAACATACAAACTGTAGTTGATCGTGACATGACTGGCGCTTCCTGTCTAATTGGAGGCTCTGAGCCAGAATAATCTGCAGAGCGAACCAGACTTCATGCTGAGCGTCAAAAGTCTGTCTAGATGAGACTAGTACTATTACAGGAAGCCAAAGAAGCAAGTTACCTTCAAGAACTTATGAAGCAGGAAAGCAAACCAGTTGGTTAGCATCTTCTCAGCAACAGACTCGGTCCTGAAACACACAAATACACAAACATCAGCAAGTGACGTCACTTATCGTCAAGAATACCAGCATATTTCCTTTTTTTTTTTGTATAATAACGGCTGGGTTTTGATGGAGGGGAAAACAGAAAGTGTGAAAAACATTAGTCCAGACTCTCTTTGTCCATTTTTTTTTCTTTTGACCACCCCCGTCTCTTTCTTTCTTTCTGTTTTGAGGATTGAGACAGATACACAGACACAAACCCACAAATGACAAACACACGACTCAAACGGGGATCTCTAGAGTTGTGGTCAATAATTTTAGAAGAGAGAAAAAGAAAGAGCTGAGCATTTGTTGAAGACAGAGCAGGTAGAAAACAGAAGAGAGAGAGGGAAAGATAAGGCAGACAGAGGAAGAGAGAACAAACAGCACCCCGACGGGAGTGGTTAACGAGCATGAAAAATACATGAAAGGGTTATTCCCTCGTTCTGACGGCTGAGCGCACCTGTGGAATACCAATACCTCTCTTTCCCTGCAAAACATTTCTCATTTTACCCCGGAAAATACTTTTTTCCCCTCACTCTGTTTGTGGCAGTGAGTATTAAGTTCACTTATGGACAATACAAATACACATAAGCATCACAGGACGATGTAATATCAGCTGCGTAATTGTCGCAACGTTATGCGCTCGCACACACTCTGCCCGGCCGCCATGGGGACGGTGAGGTAGCACACCGGCAATTTACTCAACAGCGGTGAGAGAAAATGACTCTCTTAATGCATGTGGAAATAACTATGATTACACCGCTGAGACAGCCCGCAATCACCGAGTGTGGCGAGAGTGTGTGTGTGTGTGTGTGTCTGAGCGTGTCCACATGTGCGTATTGTGCTTGAGGGGGTCATGCTTCAGGGTCACACGTGAGAGTGAGCGCTGATCGGCGAGACGAGATGAGGTGCGTTTATAGAGGTCAGGTCTGGATGGTGATAAACCCGTAATCGCTGCATATTCATAAGACCAAGGTGAGATGACTTAGACAGTTTTTGAAAGAAATCTCTCATGCTCACCAAGCTGCATTTATTTAATCAAAAAAGTGGAAAGTTATTATGGAAAAATATTACAGTTTAAAATAACTAGTTTCTATTCTAATATATTTTAAATGTCATTTATTCCTGTGATGGCAAAGCTGATTTTTCAGCAGCCATTACTCCAGTCTTCAGCGTCACATGATCCTTCAGAAATCATTCAGTATCATCCACGTGATGTCATTGCATTTTTGAAGAAATAACTGGGATATATTACTTTATTGATTTGTCTTTCCTATGGGAACTGACAAATATCTGCTGAAAAATTTAACTAAACCTAAAGATATGTTCTTAAATCAAAAACAGATTTATTGCACAAGACACATTGTCTTAAAAAGCTCAAGTCACAAAACCATGAAAAACAAAGATATGCTGCACAGGACAGTAAAATATAAAACATATGTACATAAAATAATCAACAACTTAAAAAAAACAGTGAAGATAAAATTCAAGAACGCATACTGCCCCCTATATAGTTGCCTAGAACAGGTTAGTCCAAGCTGATTTAAGAAGTTGCTGAAGCGAACTACTGGTTGGTGAAGACATGGCCTTTGTAATTATGATTACAATTTTTGTAATCATATCCCATTTTTTTTATCCCATTTTGGCATATTTCATTGGCATAACATACAGATTTGGAGATAGACAGAAGCTATACTAGAAAACAGTCATGATGGCCATTGAGTGGATGGGCTGCTTTAAAAAAAACAAGCTATTAGCGCATTGAGAGGTTTCGGGTTTGTATATTCAGGAGTTAAGAGTCCATTAACATAAAGATGATATGATTTGCATTATACTGCATTTGTTTTTTTGAGGTATTCACCCATCTGGGTTAATGCATTAGCGGATGATAAATGCAAATTTTACTGAAAGAACAAACATGGCTGTCGAATAACGAGGCTGTCAAATTATGCTTATTTAATAATGGTGCATTTTAGTGAATAAATCAATAGCAGTCTCACACAGAGATGAAATGAGAGAGGCGAGAGGAGGGCAAATAGAAGGAGTGATGCAAGATGGAGTGAAATGAAGGAAAGTCGTTTGTGTTTGTGTTTGTGACGAGAACGCCAGTCATTCTGTGGTTCTTCTTAAGGACAGTGTGTTTTATTCAGCAGCGTGTGTGGCGTGCTATACAAAACATTGTCATGTTTATATATTCTCTTTTAAGCCTGTTAACTTTCCTTTGCATCCTACCTGTTTTCTTAGAAGGAGTGATGCAAGATGGAGTGAAATGAAGGAAAGTCGTCATGTTTGTGACGAGAACGCCAGTCATTCTGTGGTTCTTCTTAAGGACAGTGTGTTTTATTCAGCAGCGTGTGTGGCGTGCTATACAAAACATTGTCATGTTTATATATTCTCTTTTAAGCCTGTTAACTTTCCTTTGCATCCTACCTGTTTTCTTCTGGGCCTGTGAGCTGAGGGACTTTGGATGCAGGAGCAAGAGGAACCTGTGTGTATTTGTGCACTGATGCGTGCATTCATATGTGACACTCATTCAGTGAGTGTGTTTGTGTGAGTGTGTGTTATGAGCTCTGACACACACATACACTACGCGTTTGATGCTGGTTGCATCAGGTCTTGCAAGAGTGTTTCCTGTCTCTTTCCTGTCTCAGTCAATCAGCGATCAATGATGGACGATGACGGACAAAAAAGAAAACTTACAAACAGGGGCTGAATTAACAGTTACTGGACTAAATTGACTTCCTTTCAAAATGCAGTATCCTCGTGAAACTAGTTTATTAGAAGCATCCGTTTCAGTGCTTCTCATAAACTAGTTTCACAAACGGCTGGAAATGAAGTGAAATTGGTCAGGAATTTTCAAATGCACTCTGGAATTGGGCACTCTCCTGGCGCACCGACACACTTCATATTGCAGAGTCTCAGAGTCAATATCTGGCTTCAAAATATAATTCAGACCCACAGAAGTCAATCTCCAAAATCTCTTAATTGCTTTAAAAAACTCTTTCGCTACCGAATCACTATTTTCTTTCACCAGGAAGCTCAAACACATTGCCTGTTCATCCGCCGGTGAGAGAATGAATGAACAGAAAGTTAATAGTAGCTAGGCTATTTGAGCACCTACAGTAAATGAGTTTTTGCATCCTCTACAACTTCATCACACCAGGCTTAATTCTGCCTCCGTCCACTCAGAAAGAGGGTGCTTTTCCTTCCTCCTTCAGCATTTTTCTGTCTTTTTGCTTGCTTTCTTTTTTAACAGAGTTTCATTAAGGAATTGGGCACTCTCCTGGCGCACCGACACATTTCATATTGCAGAGGCTCAGAGTCAATATCTGGCTTCAAAATATAATTCAGACCCACAGAAGTCAATCTCCAAAATCTCTTAATTGCTTTAAAAAACGCTACCGAATCACTATTTTCTTTCACCAGGAAGCTCAAACACATTGCCTGTTCATCCGCCGGTGAGAGAATGAATGAACAGAAAGTTAATAGTAGCTAGGCTATTTGAGCACCTACAGTAAATGAGTTTTTGCATCCTCTACAACTTCATCACACCAGGCTTAATTCTGCCTCCGTCCGCTCAGAAAGAGGGTGCTTTTCCTTCCTCCTTCAGCATTTTTCTGTCTTTTTGCTTGCTTTCTTTTTTAACAGAGTTTCATTAATGAACATGAGGGTTTTATTAGCTATTAGCGTACTTATGAGTTGTGTATGTGTCTTAAGGCGGGTAAAGGAATGCTTCACTGAAGGGGCGACACACAACACAATGTGTCTCACTAATAGTCCATTCCGAGGCTCTGTGTGCCTGCAAATCTCATTAGGTGAAAACATGTACACACACACACAAACAGCAGCAAGAGAGAGCCTGAGGCCATGGAGCCGTTCCATTTTTAGCCACAGTCCTCCACAGATATTAACATGAGGGAGCAAAAGACAAATAAGAAAACTCAAAAATCCCATGAAGAAATAATTTGCTGTTGTGGCCTAGTGGCTAGCGCGGAGTCGTGGTGCTCATGTGGATGACAAAAAAGCTTGAGAAAGAGCCAAAAAATATACTATAATAACTCTGTAACCCAGCACAAATATTACCTGGCCAAGAAAATAACAACTTTAGACAAAAAATGAGGTAGAACGGTGGAATCAGATGCACCAAACCACAACAAAACACAAACAAAAGCCATGCACTATACATGCAGAGCTGTGGCTGAGTTGCAGGCGATGCTGGTTCGAATGCAGCCAGCAACCTAATCCCCCATCCCTTTTCTTTCTCCCATGTATTTTTCTGTCTTTTCTCTAATGTCTCTGTCAATAAAGAATGGCAAAAAGCCACTGAAAGCTTTTTATGCACTGCGCGACTGCGATTTGATTCATTGTGGCTTTCCCACTGAAGTGATGAATCAGTCTTCACTGAAAAAATCACATTCCCCTGCTGATCCTCATGGAACCAGAAGCCCACAACAAGTCTGAGTCTTGTGTCTCCTTATATTCCATAATCAAATAAAGATAAAAAAATAATAGACAAGCAAATATTAATGCCAACTAAGCTTTAGGCTATTTGAAATGAAACGTACAGTCACTCTGATGACCACAGAGACCAGACAGGCCCTTGTTATTTTTCACAGTCGGTTATCATTAAATGCAAGTGGGTCACTTTATGAAAATAAATTAGTCTCTCTGTTGATATTGTCTGATTCTTAAAAGATGTCTCATTTGCAAGCAACTGCCCTACAGGCATCTTTGACATTCATTATTTTTCTTAACACACATGAACGTCCTTTGTTCCTACTTCAAGAATATGTAGAAGGATCGCACACTATCAAAGTAGCTCACTCGGTTATGATTGTCAGCTCAAAGTATGACGATGATTTTAAGCTGCAATACTTGTGGTTCTTTACATGTTATTAACCCCTTAACAGTCATCCACATTTTTGAAAATTCCAGAGAAAGTGCACTGTACAAACTTAAATTATTATAATTCATGAACGCGTTTGAATACAGACCTAAGGTTGGTCTCTTTTTAAAGAAGACAATTAGCAGAGTATTACAGAAGTGAAATCATTTAATAAATTGAAAGTATAAAAAAATTATAGAAGTTTAAATTTACTGTAAAGAAAATGTATTGTACTATTTTTATTTTATTTTATATAAAATAAATATTTTTAAAAATAGTTAAAAATACAAAATTGCTATAAAATTAAAGCCATATGTCTACACAAGTTGTGTTCCAAATTTTAAGTTGATATCAAAAAAATTGAGGTTCATATGCAATTTTGTTTAGGCGTTATACCAAAAAAAGCCACCTGGTGCCACCCAAACTCCATTGATTTTTTTTAATGCATTTCTGTTACAAATCTATCAATTTCTCTCTCAATATTATGTCTATCACAAAATAACCACCACATATGGAATCTTGAGACTCAGACCTTTCCAACAATATGTATTTTGTCAAGCTTATAAAAAGTTTTGATTCTAAAAGACCGTAATACATTTTGTAACATGGCACCCCCGCTAAGGGGGAGGAGACCGCTAAACGATTTTGAAGTACCATTTCTATGGTAACGCAATGTCTGATTTCAAAATGGTTTTCACAGGATGAATTTTGAGATTTTAAACTTGGTATGGTATATAACTTATGATGATTACTAAAACATGTGATAGGGATAAAGGCAACGAAATAAAGGCTTTTTGTGACAAAGGTCAGAACTCCTGTTATGTTGAAGATTTGTCATAGACTCTTGGTGCACTCTTGTCATAAATGAATCTATTACTGTTCCTACATAATTTGTAACAAAAAATAATGGTAAAATATCTATTTAGGAGTCTTAGACCTTTCCAATGATAATATAGTTTGTCATGATTAAATTAGGATTTAATTGTAATATAGTGAAGTAAACTAAGGCGTCCCGTATACGGGACGGTGACAGTTAAGGGTTAAAACTGCAAAAGGGATTTGGAGATGTGGCCAAGTAAATAAAAATAAAATAGACTTTTAAAAAAAAAATAGTTTTACGCTCTGCATGAATTATTAAATCACAAAGAAAATAGCTTTTTACTTCAGAACAAGAATATATTCATTTACAATCTTAAAAATTATGATTAATGTTGTTAACGTATGTTAAACGTTTGTCCATTGCAACAGAAGATACTGGTAACTATTTCAGAGACGTTTTTGTCAGCCATGTTAAATTAATGCTGTCATCAATACAAAAAACCCACAATGACACATTAAGAGGACAGTGGAATTATGGGTAAGGGTCAAAGGTAACCAGTCATGGTGTTTTGGATGTAACATCTCACCCTGAATGCCTAAATATGGCTTTTAAAGATCAATTTGTGCCATAATTCTTCACTTAATTCATCTGTACAACAGGAAATAAGACCGGATTGATCCAGAAACACCAATGAATGCATCGCTCACTGATGTGGGACAAGCTCCAGATGTATTCCATTATCCGAGAAATGTTAAGATGAGGAGCAGATACAGAAAGAGGTCACAAGAAGGGCAGGGTTTGTTCACACGGATCAATTGAAATCAAACTGCTTGAGACAGAGAGAAAATGAGAGCGAGAGAGACAGAGTAATGCCTTTTATTAAAGGAACAGAGAAGAAAATTAGTTAGATGGAGCCCAATCGATGTGGAGGGAGTGGAGGCCAGCAGTAGTTGCAGAAACGACCGTGTTCGTTTAACCGTAACACCAACAGGAAACCATGTGGCGGAATGCGATATTAAAAAAGGAAGGAAAAGATAAATGAAAACACAACAGATTTGTTGGGTTTCTAATACAGCTGCCTTGTTCTCCAGATGCTTCCTGGAAAAGTAAAGACACGGATCTGCGAACAAGACCAAAAGGAGCATGTCGAATCGATAATCTCCTAAATTCCCATAGAGAAAAAAAGAACAAAGTGTCATCTAAAACCACGGGCCCCTGATCCCCACGGCCCAGCCTGTCAGCGCGGGGGGATTAGTGTTTTGTGTTCCTAATGACAGCAGATAATGAGAGAGACGCAGCGTCTGTCACGTTAAGTAACGGCGTAATCCACATTTCCCCTGCATCTATTTACTGTGACTACTAATGAGCTGAGTCACGTAACGAAACACCAAAAATCATTCAATAAGATCGAGAGAAAGCAAACGAGGAACGGCTGTGGTGTTTGTTTGGCCTGTCTGCTTTGAATATTTAAAGTGTGATGTATAGCTGATATAGCGCCGCGGTCGGCAGGAACAAATCACCTCCAGCTAAAGCTAAATACACCCGGCCTCCATCATGTGGGGCTGTAATGAAAGCGGCCCAGGACTGTGCTTAGCCCTTGGGCAACTCTTTGTTTAATAATTATTAGTCTAAATCTTCTGAAAGACTCATCCCATCCAGCACATCATCTGTTTGAACTGTTACCCTCAGGTCAGCGGTACAGGACAATAAAAGCCAAAACAAACAGACTGAAAAACAGCACATATCGCAGGGCTGTTGAAATACTAAATGAACACTAAATGTAATGTCTCTTTTGTGCAATATTCC